GACCGGAGCTCACCACAGGAGCCCCCCCGTCCCGGCCGCGCGCCCCAGCTTCCCCGCCGCCTCCCTGCTCCGGCGCCGCGCGTCTATCCCCACCCGCTGGGGAGACTCCCGCCCGGGGCTTATCCCGACCAGGCCGGCGGCTACCGGCCGGCCCCCCTGCATTTCACCCCAGCCCGGGGGTCAGAGGGCACAGAGGAGAGGGGGGGGTGGAGTCCCCCGGGAACCGGGCGGCTGCTGTGTCACCCTGTCAGCTTGTTTAGGGACCCCGAGTCTCTCCGGCTCCGGGGAGAAGACCTCCGGGCACCATCCCCACCATCCCCAGCTCCCCAGCTCCCCGACGGACTGGCCAGGCGCCGAGAGGGGCCGGGGAGGGAGAGGGACCGCGCTGGGCTGGACGTGCGGCCAGGTGAGGCGAGCGCTCGGCCGGCGGGGCTCCTCCTGCTCCTCCTGCTCCCGGGGGGGGGGGGCGAATCCGGTCGGGGCAGGTCGCCGGATTCCTTGAGCGTTCCGTTCCCAGCGGCTGCTGCTCTCCCCGCAGTCCGGCTCCGCTCGCGGGACGCCCCGGAGACCGGCCCCGCCCTCGACGACGCCCCGGAGACCAGCCCCGCCCTCAGCGACACCCCGGAGATAGGCCCTGCCCTCGCCGATGCCCCGGAGATAGGCCCCGCCCTCGACGACGCCCCGGAGACAGGCCCCGCCCACAGCGACACCCCGGAGACAGGCCCCGCCCCCGACGATGCCCCGGAGACTGGCCCCGCCTTCGGTGACGCCCCGGAGACTGACCCCGTCCTTGGCGACGCCCCGGAGACCAGCCCCGCCCTCAGCGACGCAGGGAGCAGGGACGCGGACAGGGCCCCCGCCGCGAGGAGGAGGAGGAGGAGGAGGAATCCGCGGAGACAGGGCCAGGAGGAGCGATCTTCCTCCCGGGAGTAAGTAACCCTCTGTGATCTCTTTGCTGCGGGAAAAGGAAATATCTGGGACTGCGGTCCTCACTCCCTGCTCCCAGAAAGTCCCAGGCCTGCTGCTTTTACAGGGATAAAGACTGGAGCCCATGTGACTCTCCAGGACAGGGAGTGATCTGGAATATCGGCACAGAGCTACACGGGAATATAGTGGGGTCAGCACA